ATGATTTCTGTAAAGTTCACCTGTTTCAGTATCCGTGCTCCAAGGCAAAGGTTAGCTCGGCTCAGCAGAACCCAGTGCTGCCTTACCTTCTGCTTGGAGATAGCTGTGGGGTCCCCAGCTGTCTTGGTGATACACTGCACGGCCTGCTCAATTGTCCTCTTCTCACACTAGGGGGTGGACCATTGATAGTGTCCTATTCTGAGACAGGGTCTTGTTGGCCTTGGATTCGCAGCATTCCTTCTGCCTTTGGCCCCCAGGTCCTGCCCTTACAGGTGTGCACTGTCATCCCAGGCTCTTTCTTGCCTTTATATAAATAACAGGTTTTATTCCTCAGATCTGATGTCATTTAAACTAGCCTGTTTTCATAAGCTGACTGGGTCTCCCTAGGCATCTCCATTGCTCTAAGCAGGCACATAAAGAATGAGTTTAATTTTCCCGTCTCATTTGTTTTCTAGGCTCCCAGTCACAAGTACAGTGCACACAGCAGCCACGTGACCAACGTCAGTTTTACTCATAATGACAGTCACCTGATTTCAACTGGCGGGAAAGATATGAGCATCATTCAGTGGAAGCTTGTGGAAAAGTTACCTTTACCTCAAAATGAGGTCCTAACAGACAGCAGTCTATCCAAAGCCCCTGCCTCTTCCACTGAAAATGCCAGGCAGGGTAACCCTCCTCCACTGCCTCCTTCCCAACTGTTAACTGAGACAGTTGAGGAAGAAAGAATAAGCAGCTCACCCACGCTTGTGGAGAACAGCCTGGAGCAGACTGTGGAGCCCAGCGAGGAGCAGAGCGAGGTGGGCAGTGAAGACCTCGGTGCAGTGATTGATGAAGAGCCTGCCAGTGAGTTAGGTGAGAAGCAGGGAGCCACTGACCTGCCTGAGGACCAGCAAGGTGCACCACCCCTGTGCTAAAACCCAGGCTCCAGTGCTCCCTTGGCTGCCTGTGATGTGATGGAGTCAGATAACATGTTGGGCAGTGATGGGGAATCACTGTAGATGGAGGTTTGTTTCCCATGTGTTTGGGTGTTCTTCAGTAGTCTGAGCTGCCATCTGTGAAATACAGCAAACCAAAGGTTGTTTGGTATATGTTGAAAACTAAACCAAACTTAAAATAGCAGTGGAGACTGACAGGTGAGTGTCTGAGAAGTCACCATATGCGGTGTGAATACTGGAAACAGAACTGCAGTTGTACCCATCGACATAAACCCGTTATCTGAACGCGACAGAGGCATCACAAACACCAGTGCTCCTACTGGCTCAGACTGCCTTTTTTTCCTGATACAGAAAAAGGAAGCAGGAAAGTGATCTTACTGTGATACTATCCCACTCGAGTATCTAATGGGAACTTTTTAAGTAAGGAAAGCTTCAGTGTTGCCAAGTGTGGTGGTGTTGCCTTCTTCTGTAATACTGCATTTTCTTACACTACCAGTAGATGTCCGGATGTGCTCAGGAGGCTACTCTAGAAGATGCCTTCTCTCGTTAAAACAAGGAACAGCCCTCAGTTTCTGTGGACAGATACTTTAACCTAGAAGCAAGCATTGGTTTGTTGAAGAGCTTTTAATGTATATTAAACCATGATTCTGAGAGAGGGTGGGTCCTCCAAGGAGTCCTTTACTGGCCTGAACATTCTCTGATGTTTGGCATTCAAGGGAACGAAAACAAAACCGCATGCCTTTAAAAGATGAACTGCAATGGTGACTGCTAACCTTCACTAGCCTTCAGCACTCTGTTCCCTCAGTAGAAGTAGTTTTAATGGTTGAATTGGTGCTTGAATTCATTGGTTCAGTTGTAATTTTTATACAGACTTCTTACACCGAGGGATGTCATTTTTTTTACAGAAGTGTGGTAGTCACAGTTCTGCCTAGTAGGGTGCACCCTTTGCAGATGTGCTGTCTGTGGGCGTTTCCTTCCTCTGCAAGCCTTGCAGCCCTGTACAGCTAGCTTGGGTTTGGGCAGTGCATGTGTTGGTATACAAGGGGAAGGGGCTTTTTTCCAAGTTTTGTCAGATAACTATTTTTCTGAAATATGTTTCCTACTTAAATGACTGACAAGTGTGCATTTCCTATGTTTGTTTATACTTTGATTACAAAAACTGTTTATTTTTTTTAACTTGCTACATTGTTTTCATACTTTTTTGTTGTTGGATTATGTTTAGAAACTTTTCATAAGTTCAGAAGTCTTAAGTATGCAGACGTTTACGTGACTGTGCCATTCCAAAGTGCATCAGAACTGTCATTCCCTTCTCGTGTCTTCTCAGGAGTAACACATATCAGGTATTCATCATTGGAAATAGGAGCGCTCCAGGGAACTCCCACGGACACTAGGAGACTTGTACTCACACGCCGTATGGAAGGTGTGTGCAGAAGGACAAGTGGAGACCTGTGTATCTCTAGATAGGATGCACACTTCAAAATGTTCACAGTATAAGTCTCTGTCTAGGTATATGTCCATGTATCTCTCCTTTTGTTTACAACATTTTTTTTTTAATTAAGGAAAAAAAAAACACCTCAAAGTAGCTCTCTTCCAAAGAAGAGATTCTAAGCCACCTGAACTCAGTTCAGTCTGTACCCAGTTACCAGAGAGCACAGCTTCAGGCATCTGCCCCCGTTAGCAGTGGTGGGGGAATCGAGTCCTTGGAGAAGGATCCTAGGAGGGGAAGTACATTTCTTCAGTGCCTGGAGAAACGGCTCTCCACACACAGGGACTTTATCTGGGGACGTCTGTCACCTTTGGGGTTGCCATGTACAATGAGATTTATAATCATGATACTCTTGGGTGGTAGTTTCCAAAGACACTACTCCTGTGCAGACAGCGTGCCAGCCCCTTGTGCTGGCAACTACTGTTTCATGTCAGTCAGACCTGTGATAATGGCTGGAAGGATGTGGGATTATGAATTGTGTAAATGTTTTCTTAGAAAAACTTGTGAATGAAAATGAACCTGAGTGTTTCATGTGAAGATGAGCCATTTCTATCATGCATTCCGATGTCATGGCAGAAAATTTTGAAGATTAAAAAATGAGATAATCAATGTTTCCTTTGCCTTTTTTTGTTTGGTGGTGGTTGTTGAAGACAGTCTTGCTGTGTGTCCCAGGCTGGCCTTGAACTCGTGGCAGTCCACCTGCCTCTGTCTTGAAAGTTATTACAGGCAGGCTTCACTGTACTCAATTCCTTGGTCTTTTTTTACATGTGTCTTAAATTGGTTTATTCTGGTACTTCGTGTGATGACCCAGATATCAGAAAGTATAGCAGTGGAGGAGGAGGCACCTGTTGGCTGCTGTCGTGGACACGCTCCTGGTAGTGGGAAACCTCATGCCATTAGAGGAAACTGGTTCTGATGTGTGCACCAGTTAATAGGGAACAGTGCAGCTTCCAGTTGTTTCAGAGCTGTGTTCTCTCTAATGTTTTTAACATCAGGTGGTTCCGGTGGTTCTTGTTACCCTCCTGGCCTGGCTGCTTCCTGGTGCTGGTCTTTTGAAGGCCTTGTACCCAACACACTGGCATCCCCTGCTTTCCTCCCATATCTTAGCAATGCACATCCTCCACACCACAGCCGTAAGCTGACTACACAGGCATCTGTACTCATGGGAACTTACTCAACTCTGATGGATGCACCCACGGTCACAGCCCTTCACACAGACTTAGCCATGAGAGGCTTCCATCAGGTATGGTGACACGCACCCTTAATAATCCCAGGGCTGGGGAAGCAGAAGCAGTCCCAGGGCAGCCTATTCTACATAACCAGCCAGGGCTGAAACCCTTAGCTGAGGAATCGAGGCAGGAAGGCCAAATAGCCAGCCCAGTCGCACTTAGCCAGGGTCATGCCAGGACTACATGCATAAAAGGCTCAAGAAAGACTACACAGGAACAAGGAGGCTACAACAAGGGTAGGACTCTGTTTTTGCAAAAGAGATGGAACCAAGGAGGGAACCACTAACAGTCTCCTTGTCCAGGAGTGTGGTCCATTGCCTGCAGACATGTTGCATGTATGTCATTGCCACTAGGCCCTGCTGGAGAAGAACGTGCCCAGGATTGCCCCAAACTCACACCTAAGAAACATGGGATTCAGGTGTTTTCCAAAAACAAAAAGGCTGCAGCACTTCCTGCAGGGGCCACACCTCCCTATGTAAGCTGCTGTGTTCAGCTTCTGAGGGCCGTCTCTGGTGCTGTTCTAGTCTCCTCAGCCCATCTCAGTTCCAGCCAAAGGAACCTAGGAGGGAACAGACTAGTGACTTCACTTGCCACTTGATGAGCCGCCGCCTTGAGACTAGCTTACTGAGCTTGTATCCTAGCGCTTCTCCAGTCCAGAAGACCAGCAGAAGCACTCGGTGATCCCTCCCCACCCACAGAAGCTTCAGTGGTGATGGCCAGCCGTCCCAAGTTCCATTGTCACCACCTAGTAGACGGGACCGAGGAGCCCAGTAACTTAAACAGACGGCCAGTGGCCACAGTTTGAAGGCTCTGCTCATGCGACCAGACCCCACGCTCTCACCTCCAGATTATACTCGGGAAGATGATGGGTGATGGCTCCTAAGAGACCCTCGGATGGGTTAGCCAGCTAGAGAAAACTTCAGGCTCAACAGTATCAAGAAATGAAGGACCTTGTAAGAGACAACAGACTAGTGGTGGCCAGGAAAACGAAGGAGCACTGGAACTACAAAAGGGTGGCACCAGGGTGCTCATTTTTTGTTTGTTTTCTAAAGACTGTATCTTGAAAGATGGTTGCTTGAACGTGTGTGTGAATTACCTGGCATCAGAGCCCCGGACTGGTTGGTAGGTAGAGTAGATAAGATCGATAAACTGGGACACATCTGTAAATTTAACTATCAATTTCCTGTTAATACACAGTTATATAAAGTTTCACCACTGGTGGAAAATGAAGAAGGGGTTACAGGACTCTTGAGTTTTAAGCTTCATGTTAATGTCTCATTTCAAAATGAACTTAAAACATAGTAAAACAGAAAATACATGGGAACTGTCCCCTTCTGCATTTTTTAAAAGAGAAGTACTGAACGCTTCACGAATTTGTGTATCATCCTTGCGCAGGGGTCATGCTAATCTCTGTCATTCCGGTTTTAGTGTATGTGCTGCCGAAGCAAGCACAACCCTTTTGCATTTTTGGAGAGAACATGCAGCATTCATGGGACCATTTTACAACAAAACACAATGTCTTGTATAGACCAGGGTGACCTCGAACTTCCTATATAGCTGAAAATGACATTAAAGATCCTCCTGCCCCCACCTACTACGTGCTGAGCTCACGGGCATGGACTACCATGCTTGTTTTATGTAGTGTTGGCAGTTGAACTGAGGGCATTGTATATGCTAGGCAAGCATTCTGCCAACTCCCTGAGCTACACTCCCAGCGAAGCCCTTTCTGGCCTTGTGCATCTGTGTATTCTACTCCAGCTCAGATGACTTTGTGCAACTGGGTGGCTTTGCTATCACAGGTGTCTGAGTCAATTTCTTGTGTTTTGGTCACAAAGGGACCTGAAGGTGAACTTCTGAGGTGTGACAGCAGGAGGTCACAGGTTTGGCAACCCAAGCCTCACCTGGTCCATTCCAGTGCCAGCAGTTGGTATACATTAGCTTGTTCTTACCCAAAATGCATGGGATCTCCTTGATTTTTTTAATTGTTTGCATCACATAATGAGATATCGATGGATGAGACCCAAGTCTAACATAAAATCCATATATGTGTTTCAAATACACACATACACAGCTGGCAGGTTCACACTAAATGCCTGTGCATCGTTAGAGTGGCCTGTCACATGAGATCAGGCGTAGAGTCTTAGAACTCAAAAGTTTCAGGTTTTGGAACATTTCAGATTTAGACTTCTCAAGTTAGGGATATTTGCCCCCTCTGTAGCAGCTCCCACTTCCTGCAGCAAATGGGGGCACATAGCCTTTGCTGTGCCCCGTTGTTGAGGCAAGACATCCTTTCTCTTTCCCACACCTGTTTTTTGCTTTAAGAAGCACTGTTCGCTTTTGTTCTTGGAACCCTCTCCTAAAGCTACCCAGGCACGCTCTCCTGGTGCCTGCACTGAGCTGTGTTCCTTTGTTCAGAATCCATCACACAAAAGGGAACTCAGGATGAGCAGCCCTGGGAGGCTCCTGCATCGCAGCGAGATCATCCCAAGTGACCGCGTTCAATGTGACTGTTTGCTGCCCCCGCGTATCTCATCACCAGAATCATTAGCAAAAATGTGTGCTGGGCCTTGACATTTCCATTTAGAAGATGAATTAATTCTGAACAGAACCTAGAGTCCCCTTGGCAGGATTTATACAATCCCAGAGCCCTCCACCTCTACCTAGGAGACCAGCTTTCTGCTGGGGGCCCATGAAGAATCTAACAAAAACCTAACCACAGTCCCACCATATACCACCCCATCCCATAATGTCATCTCGCCCAGTGATACCGCTGTCTGTAGACATTACTGTGGTGTTCCCCTAAGGAAGAAATCACCCAGATCTCCATTAAGTGATAGCACAAGCCTGCTGGCCATAGGTGAAAAAGACCCAGTTTTAGCCAGTAATTACTTAGTTCCCGTGAATGTGTTGCCTGTGGATGGTGGAGGTGAAGTTAAGTGCTTGCTACCTGCCTGACTTGCCCCAGCTTCTGGCCCCACGAGGAAGGAGAGATGGAGTTTGGGGCTCTATCCCCCATCTGCTCAGGCAAGGCCAGCCCTCTGGGTATGATGTCATTAGCTATCTTGATTCCTGGGACAGGAAAGTCTGGCCCCTTCAGAGCACAACAGCGGCTGTCCTGGAAGGCCACAGTGTTAGGACCTGCAGGAGAGCAGGCAGACGGCTCCAGTAATGACGCTGCCATTCAGTCAACAAAACTGACATTGTTTCCATGGGAAATGTTAAGGTAGGCTTTTCTTTCTTTTTTTTTTTTTAATAAGTGATAATAATCAATTGAGTTTTCATTAAACATTAACAAATTTAAAGGCAAGAATTTGTCCAAGAAACCACTCAGGAAACCAGGTACAAACATGCAAGACTTCATAGAATGCGCCCTAGCCCTGAGGATCTCAGCAACTGCTCTTTTCTCCGCCATGTTCTCAGTGTCCCAGCCACTGTGCCCCTGACTCACATACCCAAGGGACTCATGACTAGTAGAAACCTGGGTGGACACACAGGTAGAGCAGCCTCCAGTCCCCCGTAGCTCCCGGGCCTCACCTCAAGCCTGTTCCCTCTCCAGTCCATCACCCCGAGGCCTCAACACTGGAATTGGTGACGGTCCCCAGAACAGACCTGAGCCTGACTCCCACTCTCTAGTACCAATCTCCCCACCCCCTCACTACTAGCCCAGTGTTCACCTCAATCAGCATACACTTCCCTGGGGCTATATAAAATTTAAACAGTGCCACCTCTTGTCTTCTTGTTCCCTGGCCCGACCCCTGGAGAGCTGGGGACACCAGTCTAAGCTTAGCACTCCATGAGTTCTGGGGGGCAGAGGAGGTGTCCCCATTCTATCTCCACCATCCCACGGCAGAATCAGTGACAGCAGCATGTGTGCTTTAGGGGCACTGACTGTGAAAATAAAACGAGTCTCTCAGTCGGGGTCCTTATCTGGGGTAATCCCAGATTTATGCGTGGAAGAACTTTAGAAAAGGACATCTGGGGGTCCCATGAGGAAGCACATAAAATTTGTGGATTAACTAAGCAGTGGTGGCACATGCCTTTAATCCCAGCATTCGGGAGGCAGAGGCAAGCAGATCTCTGTGAGTTCGAGACCAGCCTAGTCTACAAGAGCTAGTTTCAGGGCAGGTTCCAAAGCTACAGAGAAACCCTGCCTCGAAAAACACAACAAAAAAGCAACAACAACAAAAATAAAAAAAAAAAACTTGTGAATTAAAGACATCCCAGGGAGCTAGAGTCAAGGAGAGTCTGGCAAAGCTTCATGACCCAGTGTCTGGGTCAGCGGGCAGCACTATTGAACCTAGCCCTGAGCTACTACTGAGCGTGAAGATGGAGGTGGGGCTGAGTCCTCCAGTGGAGTCAGGCTGCCTGTTTTGGTCACCAACTGCCCACCTAGACCACACTGAGGTTCCTCTGGGCCAGAAACACCGCAAAGACTGGACAAACAACAACAAACAAATCAAACAGCAAGATAGCTCAGCTGGTGAAAGTGTTTTGTAGTGTGTCTGGCTTTGTCGCCCCCCCCCCCCCAGCCTGATGACTCGATTCCATTCATCCCCAAGGTCACGTGGTAGAAGTAACTCCAGCAAGTTGCCACTTGTTCTATGCCCTGTGTGCCACACACACCACACATTGCTGCAGGCACCATGAGTTCTGGGGGCTGGAGGTTCGCCTTAGGGAATCCTGCCTTGGCATAGGCATGCTACTTGCTACAACTCAGCATATCTATCATCAACTTGGAAAGGACAAAAATAAAAATATGTTCATACTCGGGAGTCTGCAGCGGGTCCATAGGGACATCCTGCTATGACCCAGCGAGCATTCATGGCCTCGAAGGCACAGCGCCCTCGCCCTCTGACCCACAAGGCTCCTTAGAAGACCATGAAGCTTGCCTAGGCCACCTCAGCTCTCCTGCAACTTTTAACTCAACCTTCTCGGCCACACCTGTGGCCTCTGTCTGAGGCCCAGTTCTCCCCGTTGCTCTGTGAGCAAGTCCCAAGGAAGGGAGCTGCAGGCACCTGAGCGCGAAGAAAGTTAGAAAACCATTGCCCAAGGACCACTTCAAGGAGACTTGGCACAGCCACCAACCAGAAACAAAGGCTCCTCTCAATGACTCTGCCTTAATTAGAATAACAGCTCATTGGGAGCAATTTAGAGCTGGTTCGCGATAGGTTAATGAGATTCATGTTTTGGAAGTGTTGACTACAACACAGACTTAACCAGAAACACAAATCTAACCTTTATTCTCTTTCATTATTCGGTCAGAATAATTTCCTTGGAGCCGGTTTACTCTCAAGATGGTTCTAATTAAACACCAGTGAACTTTGAAATCAACATTAGCTCACTCAGCGGCAACTCAATTTTCAAACGAATCTGCCGTGTAACACGGGAGGGTTGGTGGTCCGAGCGGGGGAGGGAAAGGAAGATGAGCCTCAAGCCATTCAGGTGTGTCTGGCTCCAGGGACAAGGCATCCCATAACCCACGCCTGCAGCACCCCCAAAGAGGGGCTGCGGCTGAGCTGTGCCATCAGGCCCTTAAGGGGCCCCTAAACCAGCAGCCCCTGCATGCCCCCCACTCAGCAGCTATCTACTGCTCCCCCCCATCCAACTCACACACATTCGGTTCCTACCCGCTTCCTCTTCCCCTCCCCCTTCCTCTTTCCTTCTCCCTGTCTCCCTCTCCTCCCTCCCTCCCTCTCTCGTCCTATCAGAGCTTGGTTAACTGAGCTTTGCTTTTTAACAGCTGTCCGCACTGACGGAAAGCAAGGCCACCATTTCCCATGACCTGAGGCAGCTTCAGCTGCCTTCCATCCCAAGGTGACATTTGCCGAGCTTTGGTGCAGCTGCAAAGTCCTGTGATCGTGACAAACAGCAGTGAGCACAGACAAGGTCAGGGCAAGGGGAGGCATGGTGTCCTGGTCGGGCTGTTCTTTAAGGAATGCTGCTCCTAGACGCTCAGCGTGGCCCTAGCAAGCGAACACATTGGTGTTTTGCAGCCAGTCCCCTGGCAAAGCCTGCAGTGAACTTCGTGAACTTCCGGACAGGACAAGCTGTACATGGCCTGCTGTGGCCACCACCACCTTCTGAGCCACACTGAGGCCAGGATTCCAGGCACAGGCCTATGCAGTGACAGCAGCCGGTGGCAGAGGAGGCTGTATTTCATCTAACAGTCCCTAACACAGGAGAACCTAATGGGACTTGAGTTTCCCCGAACATAAGCCCAACCCCACCTCCATCGGCCAGCCGTCCCCACAGCCAGGCTATGTGCAAACGACCAACCCCCCCCCCCTATCTCCTGCTGCCACCCCCTGCCTCCCGCCACCTCTCCCCACCTCCAGCCACACAGGCAGCTGATTCTTCACACAACAGCCCTAGGAGCATGCCCATACAGGGGGCCATGTGGTCTCAGAACCCAGAGCTGAAAACAGCCCCAGAAATGATTTCAAAGGCATTTC